AAAATTCTGTCATTAATTACTCACCCTCATGTCGTTTCAAACCCATAAGACCTTCATCTTCGGAACGCAAATTAAGATATTTTTGATGGAATCTGAGAGCTGTCTGACCCTGCATAGACAGCAACGCAACTGAAATGTTCCCAAGTCCAGAAACGTAGCAAGTAGATCTGTAAAATAATCCATGTGACATCAGTGGGTCATCCGCAATTATACGAAGCTACGAGACTACTATTTGTGCACAAAAGAAAAAAAAAACGACTTTATTCAACAATTCGTCTCCTCCGCATCACCCTGGTGCCATTTTGGAGAATATCTGCTGGACATAAATAACGTATGCTGTTCTGTGTCAGCTGCGTCACACGGATACGCTGTTTCCGTTCAGATCAAATCAGAACAACGTAGGAAACAGATCCGGCGTGACTATAGTATTTTGTCGCAGCTCCGCTCCGCTAATGTAAGGCATTAGTCACTTGCACTATAACCGGTAATGCTCCGTGACGCTTTGTTGGTCTCTGTAATGCTGGTTGCAGCTCCTGTGCTAACTGTAATATCATGTTGCGCGGCAGTCTGTAATTACTTATAAGTGTTTTGTCATCAAAATGTAACACATCTTCAGGGTCCTCCAAGAGTCTTTCTACCATTAAACATCTCCGTTCTTCATTTTCAATTATATGTAATTCCATTGTTGGACAGTGCAATTGTAAGTGGTTTTTCCGTTAGCTTTCAAATAATTTTGAAGTTAGGACAGCTGTGGGGTTGTCCTAAAGTTAAGACAGTTTTTAGGATTTTTTGTCAAGTTAGGAGGTTTCTGTAATACCCCCTTCCTATCTGTAGTTAAGATAAGATAACACACTTAGGAAACGCTGTTCTGTAATAGCTTTTGTCCTAAATGTGGTCCTAACTGAAATTACCATGGTTACCAAACAGATAAGATAAGATTTTAAAGTTAGGATCTTTCTGTAATACGCCCCCAGGGGCCTATAACAGATGTTTGTGTATTATTATTGATGAAGGATCCTCCTACTATTGTTACAATAACAATCAAATCAGAGCAGCGGCACTTTTGCCTCCACGTTCATAGATTAAATATTTATTCCTGCAGGGATTTCAGTCTGACTAAAAACAAAAGCAATATCAAATTCCCACATTGAACAGCCTATATAATGTTATTCAGTAATAGCATCAAATGAATCAATGTAATGATAATTCACCACATTAATTACTGTTAAATCAGTTATGTAAATGGGGAGGCAGACTCAGTAGTATTTTACAGCAGGTGCACAATATATTTTCATAGGTTACATGACATCACTACTGATTGGAGGGGCCCCATCTCGTTCTTTGCGGGGGGCCTCACAGATGTGCGATACGCCACTGGTCACATGCATCAATCGGAGTGTAAACAGTGAGTAAAATATAGTCAAATATAAGGTAAGGTGGCAAATAGGTAAATAAGTGTAGATCTGTTACATGCATCAATCGTAGTGTAAACAGTGAGAGATCATGAGGCAGGTGAAAAGCATTTGGTTAATGGTGAATATTGACCTATTATGCATACCGTTGTAACTCCCGCTGGTAGCAGGGGACAGCCACTGCATTTGGGGTAAAAATTACAGAATTATTTATTGTGTAAAGTGCCAAAGAATAGACCCAGGTTGTCTGTTTGTTCACACGTATCTACCGGATTGGCAGCTGCCTTCTGTTGTGGCAGGTTTTGTGGCAGATGCCTTTTGTGGTGCCTTTATCAAATACCTCCATTGTTCAAAGCATTCGGCACCATCGTATGTGAGTGACGTCACTTCCCATACACGCCCCATAGTATAGTCCCACCCCTGACACTGATTGACAGGTTTCCTTGTAAGGCATCGGAAATTCAAATGCTAAAGGAATTGCGATTCCATTTGAGTTTTGGCAGGTTACATGCGGCAGAGAGTGAAAAAACAGACGTGGAAATTAATATTGCTATTTAAATATGACAAGGTCATAACTCGTAAGACATGGGAAATACAGTTGCAAAAGGACTTTGCTTTTTCATTTGAAATTTGGCAGTCACTGTGCATTCACGAAAGCAAAAATGCAAATGGTAATGCAAGATTTGTAATTGCGTTTGGATTATGTCCACATCCACATATGGAAAGCTCTATTGAAAATACAATTTGCAGTTCCTTTTGAAAATAGTCTGGAATATCCTTCCATTATTGATGTGCGCTTTCAAAGCACTGCTTCATGAAGCTTCGAAAACTTTGCGAATCATTTGTTTCGAAACAGTGGCTCGGAGCACTTATCAAACTGCCAAAGACACGTTATGTCAGTAAATGAGGCTTTGTTACATCATAACTTTCGAAACGTTTTGAAATTTCAATGGTTTGCCAATGGGGGGGCGATGATCTCTGTGACCCCGTGAATCATGGGAGTTCATTGAGATTGTCCCCCAGTGGCGAACCATTGAACCAGCATCTATGGTTTTTATCTTTTATGGTTTAATGTATTATACTTTCAATAAAACATTTGCAATGGGTTTGTAAAATGTTTTTATGCTTGTTTTGGCATGAGTTTTTGTTGCATTTACACAGATTTGACCAGCAGGTGTCACCAGCGTGTGGTGTTTCGAGCGCTTCGAAACGGTGAATCATTTTGTGAAGCAATTGGTTCAATACAGTGGTAGAACTATGATGTCACTTTGTAGGCAAAAACCCAGAAGCGAGTTAGCATTTTAGCACTTCCGGTTCCATCGTCCCTGAGTCAGTGGGTTTTTTGAATGGGAGTTTGGTTAAATCCCCTAAAATAAGGTCCGTGGTTCACACAAGCTCAAGATACTTTCACGTTTTATTCTGTAACATAAAACACACCAGTTACACCCCACTCATGATTTTTTAAAACTGTTACGTTTCTTAAAAAAGACTGTTGCTAACAAGTTGCTAAATGGCACTACAGGCACTGTCAGAGACATTAATGCGATTTCAATTTTTCCTTTCTCTTTGGAGTGTTACAAGCTCTTAGTGCATAAAGAAGATCTGTAAAGTTGCAAAGACTAAAGTCTCAAATCCAAAGAGATATTCTTTATAAAAGTTAAGAGTCAGTCACTCCTACCTAAAATATCCATAATTATTTCCCCACTGGATGCAACGAATACCTGGGTTTTCATGTTTTTGAATCATCGCTCCGGCCTGACAGGGCATCACAGTATGGTAAGGGGCGTAACATTTCCGTCACACGCTTGAGGTATTCGGCCAATCACAACGCACTGGATAGCTGGCCAATCACAGCACACCTCGCTTTTTTAGAACGATGAGCTTTGTAAAAATCGACGCATTTCAGAAAGGCGGGGCATAGAGGAGAAACAATAATGTACAGTATGTGGAAAATAATGTGTTTTTTGAACCTTAAACCGCATAAACACATTTCATTACACCAAATACACAAAATAATGTTCTTTTTAGCAGCATCATATGACCCCTTTAAACGTCATCACGCCGAAAAGTTTATAAATTTACAGTATTTTCCAATTGTAGTATAATTTATAGTATATTATAGTATATTATTGTAGAATAACCAATTAATAGTTTCCCGCATTTTATATTGTTGTTCGACAATGTTTTTTTTTTTGCTTTGCTCTGAAATGCAACACAAGTGTTCAGAAGGAAGATGCTTGTTTTATGGCTTTCCTACTGATGCTGAGACTCTGGGTTCGCACCATAAGGTAAACTCATATGATTATTCCATGTAAACACCACATTTACCTGCTTAGTCACAGTGAAAGTGAAACTTTAACCATGCAAAGTCCTTAAAGTCACATTAAAATTCAATGTTTACAGCCACATGAAGCTGAGATTGAGGATTTGAGGATTTTCTAGAAGCAAGGATAAAATAAAATTGTGTAACGTTACCCACATAACAAAATGATAGCTGAAATGTGGTACTTTATTCACTAAAATAAGTTTAATCTTACCATATCCTAAAACTTGCTCACTCAGCTGTTATTTAATAGAATAAATGCACTAGAATTTTATTGAATAGTTACGTGGAGATACGTTTTTAATTAAAAATATTCATATTAATCAAGGATTTATTGACTTTTAATGCACCTTGTTTCGAAATGTACAGAAATACATGCTTTCATGTCCTTTAGTTATGATTATTTCATTTATTCACTATGCGATTTATTATAAGGTCTCATTTCAGTTTTAGTTTGACTCTAGTTTTGTATTTATTCCAGTTTATATGAAAAGGTTCATGTAGCATGGGTTAAAATTCATCCACAGGAGTAAATCCTTTTCACTGTTTTCATCCTTTTCCTTTTCAATGTTAAAAATAAGTTGTCGGGAGCATGGTGGTGGTGACGTTGAAGGCGAGCAACCATAGTGCTGTAGTTTTTTTATATCCTAAATTTAGCTCTGGCTAATTTTTTTTATATTTATATTTATATTTAAAATTAAGTTCTGGCGCTTTTATTTAGGCTTCAAAATTCATAAAATTTATTTTGTGAAGATCATCTTGATGGACAAAACATGTACGTTTCATGAACTATGATTGAACACAGAGCTTATTTTTTGCAATAATACAAAAGCCTATGGAAAAATCCAATTGGCTTTTTGTCGAGGGAACCAGTGTGATGCTAACAGCCGATCCGCCTACAAAGTGACTTCAGAGTTCCCCCACTCTATTGATTCGAAGCTTCAAAAAGGTTAATTTCTCCCATTACTACCTTCCATACCGGTGAATGAGACATGAGGTAATCTGACAGCGTTGCATTCAACCCTCCACCAACGCCATCTCTCATCGTATTGCTGGTTATCATCTGGTCTGCCTGTGCTGTTCATGTGTTTTGGAGGAGGCGTGGCTTTGCAGAATGATTATGCAGGGGGATCTTGCTTTCAAAGCTAGCTTGCTATTGCTAGCCTTTCCGAAATCGCCTACACTACCTTAAATGTTCTCACTATCCAACAAGACTTTAGCAAGGATTGCTGAAATTACAAGACATTTAGTTAAGAAGAAATTACCTCTGCTCTTCCTCCAGTTCTTCTTTGGTCATCATCTTTTCAAGCTGGCAGGTCCTCAGCATGCCAGCCATGTACCTCAAGGGTTTCTTCTCAGCATCTATTGCAGAGTGGAAGATATACAGAGTCAAACTGCTGCAGTATGTTCACAAATTTCTTATCCTACAAAACATGAGTGAATTCAGGTGCAGTTTCTTCATTAGGGTGATAGGGCGATGCACCACAAAAAAAGTGCAAAAGGGAGGGATTTTTTATCACATTCAACCACAGCAATCACTGTTCTAGACTGTTTGTTCCCTTTTTGCGCTTTCACGAGACATCGCGGAGGTTTCTCCGCTATGGGAACTCCTTCCCTTCCAACCATTCCTGAAGTCCTATTGGCTCACGCCAGTCCAATTGACTGGCCAATTGTGGCGAAGTATGCAAATCGCATGCAAATACTAACGAGCTCAAGAGCCAGTATAAAATGCGGTGCACGCGACAATTACATCAGAATCTTCTCCTTCACTTATTTGTTAGCTTCAACACAACCTGAAGAATGGCTTTATTCTGTAAGATCTGCGTGGGACCAGTGGAACTGCCAGATCAGTACGATAACTGCGTCGCTTGCCTGGGCTTGGCCCACGCTGAGGCGGCGCTGGAGGAGTCAGACTTCGGACTCGCCGCAACGTGGCACGTGGCTTGTTTGGGGTGAGGCCCACTGCTGCCAGTGTGCCGCTGGTGGGCCCCCCCAGCCCCCTCCTCCTCCCGGATGTGGGAGCATCGACTCACCGCCATCCTCAGTGGTCACCCCCTTCCCCAGTCACCATCCCCGAGGACTGCTTCCACCCTCCTCCGAGCATCGCAGACTTCATGTCGTTCGGCCGGGAGGAAGAGGATGAGGACTCAATGTCCATCTCGGCCTCAGAGAAAGAGGATTGGGCAGGATCGGAGCGTGACTGCGCTGACAGCGAGGGGCCCCAGGGCTCCAGGAGGAGCTCGTGAGGGTCATGACGAAAGCGGTCCAGGAGCTCGAGCTTACCTGGAGCTCTCTGGAGGAGCCTGCCAAGAGTAAGCTCGACTCCTGGTATTTTAGATCCTCTCACGGCAAGCTGATTCGAGGGCATCGGTCCCCTTCTTCCCCAATGTCCACAAACAACTCGTGTAGACATGGTCTGCGCCCCAATCGGCGCATGTCCACTCAAACATGCAGGCCATATTCTCACACGTGTGGGCACTTTCTCGAAGTGCATGGATGCAGCACTTTCCCCGCTCAGAGCGAGCGGGATGTGCATTCTCAACTATCTAGCCGATTGAATGATTTTAGCTCATTCACGGGACATGCTAGTCAGCCATACAGACAAGCTGCTTTGTCGCTTGGAGTCCCTAGGGCTATGTGTCAACATGCAGAAGAGCATTCTCGCCCCAAGTCAGTCTATAACATATCTGGGGGGGTGTTTGTTCGGTGGAGATGCACGTCCGCCTCTCTCGGGAGTGCTCGGTGGCCATTTTGTCTTCCCTGCACCATGTGAAGGAATTTCAGAGGCTGCTGGGACTCATGGCAGCAGCATCAGCGGTATGCCATCTGGGTTTACTACACATGCGCCCACTGCAGTTATGGCTGAAATCTCGAGTCCTTTGGACGGCGTGGACTTCGGGCCATTTGCGCATCGCGGTCTCCCGCGGCTGCATCGAAGTTCTGAGGCCGTGGCTCAACCCAGATCTCTTCAGCCGGGGGGTTCCCCTAGGCTTGGTGACGTCGCGCGTTGTGGTCTTGACGGACGCATCGACTCGCGGCTGGGGAACAGTGTGCGAGGGTATGCCGGCCTCAGGGCTGTGGGCCGAACCCCAGAGCCGGTGGCACATAAACCGATTGGAGCTGGAAGCAGTGTTCTTAGCTCTAAAGGTTTTTCGACCGCAGCTGGAACAGCGGCATGTACTGATTCGCACCGACAACATGTCTGTTGTCTCGTACATAAATCACCAAGGAGGTGTGCACTCCAGGGCGCTGTACAAGCAGGCAGCAAATCTCCTGTGGTGGGCGGACCATCACTTTCTCTCCATCAGAGCAGCGCACATCCCTGGTCTCCTGAACTGCGGGGCGGACATGCTTTCGAGGACAGGGATTCCTCAAGGAGAGTGGAGGTTGCACCCCGAGTCAGTTCGGATGATTTGGGCCCGCTACGGAAGAGCGGAGGTGGATTTGTTCGCGACGAGCGAGAATATGCATTGCCTGCTGTTCTTCTCTCTGTCTCACTCCCTGCTGGAAGGGGATGCTCTGACGTCATCCTGGCCAGCAGCCAGACTGTACATGTTTCTCCCGATCAAGATATTGCCGCTGGTGTTAGGCAAGATCAGAGAGGAGGGGGCTTTGGTGATACTCGTGTCCACGAACTGGCCGAACCAGCCTTGGTTCCCGGACCTGACAGAGCTGCTGGTGACGACGCCCTGGCCGACCCCCATCAGGAAGGATCTGCTGTCTCAAGCGAGCGGCTCAGTGTGGCCCCCGAACCCGGAGTTATGGAGCCTTCATGTGTGGCTGCTTCGGGGATATCAGAGGAGCTGAGCGCCCTGCATTCTCGTGTGCTTGACATGCTTTCGGAGGTGCGGGCGCCCTCCACGAGACGCTTGTATGCCCTAAAATAGGGAGTGTTTGTGAAATGGTGCCGTGATGCTCATTTCGACCCAGCTGCTTGCTCTGTGTCGGATGTTCTGCGTTTTCTACAGTACAGGCTGGATAGTGGATCTCTACCGTCAACTCTGAAAGTCCATGTGAACACTATTGCCTCATTTCATTCCCCACTGGGCGGGCAATCAATCAGTAGGCATGCGCTGGTGGTGAGATTTCTTAAGGGGGCGAGGAGATTGCATCCCCTGCGTCCGCCTTCAGTCCCACCCTGGGACCTAGAGGTGGTGTTAAGAGCGCTTTCACAGCCACCACTCGAGCCTTTAGCATCCGTTGCTATGAAGGAGCTATCTCTCAAAACTGCACTTCTTCTTGCCCTCGCTTCGGCTAAGCGCATAGGGGATTTACATGCGTTTTCTTTGGACAGCGATTGTATTCGCTTTGGACCCGGTGACTGCAGTCATTCTCCGGCCGAGACCGGGCTACGTGCCTAAATCCCTATCTAGTCCCTTCAGAGTGCAAACTGTTTAGCTCTCTGCCCTGTCATCTGAGTCATCGACCTCGCATGATGCGGATGCTCAGATTTCGGTGTTCCCCGTCAGGGCTTTGAGGACTTACATTGACCGTTCTGCCAGCTTTCTGCAGTCTGACCAGCTTTTCTTGTGCTACAGTGGTCCTACGAAGGGCCGGGCCGTGTCAAAACAGAGACTTTCCCACTGGATTGTGGACGCTATCACAGCTGCTTATACGTGCCAAG